AACACTGTGTCAACCAATCTGCTGTGATTTTCCTGGGTTTCTTTGTAAGTTTTAAACATTTACAGAAGGTAGCCCCAAAAATGAGATAATGCATATGCCGTAGTAAAGTTTCATCAGATAATTGTATACTGAAACATTTTAAATTTGTTTCTCTGGACATGTACTGTTCAACTTTGGAGTTACATGAGAAATACCACTGTTTTCTGTAAGTGCCTACAAATTTGATGTTTAAGACTTTTATACAAGTAGCTAATGCTTTGTTCTATCAGCATCCCAAATAACACTGCTACAGATCTTTTAGCTCCCCAGAAATAGAAAGAATGGTGGATTATGTAAAAATTCTCAATGCATTTTCATTCTATCAGTCAGTGAATGCATTATTAGTGGCTCGTGGTTTATTCTCTTCTAAGAAGACAGCTTGAGATGTCAACTAAGATGAAAGTTCACTCCTAGAAAACTAATAGATTTAAGCAAACTGTTTACATGTGGAAGAGGCATGTGGCTTTGATTTTAAAATCTAGCATGCCTATACCACTTTTTCTCATAAATACTTTCTATTTGTTAAGCCAAACACACTAGAAATTAAAGCTCTGTAACTTTCAAAACAACTTTACCAAGTCTTCATTAGAAGTTTACTGTAAAGAGCTCTCTATGAATAGGGGAATATTTCTAAAACAAACAAAAAAAATCTGCATTAACCAAACAATCATGGCATGGACCAGATCACAACAAGGTGGAATGACTGTGAGATTCCCTTCAAAGCTGCATTTCTTTACCTAAACGAAAACACCAGCATAGATGCATCCAGAGCATGCAAGTAAGGCAGCTCAGAGAACTTTTCCTATCTGTATCTGCAGTAAGTATTGTGTGATCATATGAAGCCTGTGCACAGAATGAAAAAGTAGATTTATCCTGTCAAGTGAAACCACATAAGTAAAACTCATCACCGAACATTCATTTAATTTGGCTTTGTTTACTGTTAAATATTTTTTATTTCCTCTGATTTAAACCTCATAAAAATCAATAATCAAGATTCAGTATTTATAGTCAAAATTCGGAAGAAGCAGTGCACTGACAAAAAAAAGAAAACAAGCAATAACAACACACACACAGAACATGGGGCTCAACATATTTCATTTGCTTTCGTGGCTTCTGGAGTTGGCTGTCTCACACATGGACCTCTTGGAGTCTTCATGGGCAACCACACACACACAGGTGTAGCCATCTAGAACACTTACCTTTTGTTCATGTTGCTTTATTCAGATCTCTACAGTTACATTTCCTACTTTTTTATAAAAGTACTTGAAGTTCATGAAGTTACAAGACTTACACTCATGAAAGCACTCACCATCGGTTTTATAAGTACTTCAAAGTTTCTGGGTTAAATTTAAGACTTAAATTGATATGCAAAAAATAAGATGAAAGCTTAGATACTTTGAGAACTATAAGGAATATTTTGTGTATCAAGAAAAAATAATCATTTAATTTAATGAAGTGCAGTGTCTTTCTAGTCCATTAAATTACAGCAGTCTTTTAATAACTTCACATTTTTCTAAATAGCATGAAGCAGAATGACTAAAAAGAGGTCTTTCATTTTAGTAAGAAATTAATCTATTTGTTTTAATGAGGGTTAACCATGCTGGTTCTTATTTCAGTGACATGGAGCCTCACAGAAGAAAGCAATTATTAAACAACTCAAAGCATCTGTGTGTAGGCTGGCACAGACACTTATTCTAAAAGGAAGACATATTCTAAAAAACCCTCTACCCTGAAGTCTTCCACTTCCATATATTCCATATTCCACTTCAGTACAAATACTCCACATCTGGAAAATCCTTATTAGAATATTTCGGACTTTAGTAAGTAAGGTAAATTGCATAATGTCATCAATGGTGCTGCAGGAGTGACAAGACTATGCATGGATAAAACAACTTGCTTGTGCTGTTACACAGTAGTCTTGCCCTAATACTTATAAAGTCTGGCTAATGAACCTATATTTCAAGGCCTACCAACTCTTAAAATACAATAAGCTCTATAAAATACTTGCTAAGGACAGCAATCTTTCTGTATAGTATCCTTTTTCTAGCGTGTTCCATGTTTAAAGGTCCAGTTGCCTCACTGACCATCGTCAGGGCTTCAGCAACATGATTTCATTAACTAAGTAGATACTCACTGACTGACATCTGAAACAAAACCTCCAGAGAGACTCTCTCTCTTTTCAACTTCAGTAGCAAGGGAATCAGTCATAACTGGCTACACAGCACTGGATTTTAAATTCTAATCCATACAAAACAAAGGATGGAGGTAACAATCATCTTGGTTTATAAGATATACCATTTGACTACCCACCAGTAACTTTTGATCTATTTAGCAAATTTCAACTTAATACAATAGCAGGTGAAGCTTTTGAACATGCAAAGGTCCACATTTTGTGCCCAACACTCATGAGGTAAAGAAGAGTCCTTGAATGTATGTATCAAAGGAATAACAATTTAAATTCATCCTCTTATTAGTTAAAAAACATACAGTAACCAGCAAATAAGAAAATCTAAGTCTAAACCAGAAACAGCATGGAGTGACAACTGTGAAGACAAAAAAGCTAGGAACAGAGAAAAGAGCATATATAAACAAACTATAAAGAAAATAAACTTCATAGTTTCCCTGCCCATGCAAAAACCTGTTTTTAAGAAAAGCTTTCAGAACAGACCCTTTTTGTGTTCAGGGTATTATCTCATGGAATTATTAAAACATTTTCATGTCACCCTCAAATTTAGGACTGACTACACAGTCTTCCGTTTGCTATGATTCATACACATGACTTTTCAAAATGAAATCATTAAGATATGACAGACAGAAGGTTACAACCTTCACAAAAATTTTCAGTTAAATCACAGGAAAACAACTGAGTTTTTCTAACACCTTAATTCCCATTTACTTTCTAGTTTAATTGTCATACATTGTGTTTCCTAGTTACAAGCTCAGTTTGCTAGTAATTAGCATATTACATTTCGGAACACCTAGTTTATAAGGTCTTCGGGGAAAGGAATTTACCTTTCAGTGAATCTTACTGCAAAGCATACAGATGCTTTTGTAAAATGAATAATGAATAAAATACAGTGAAGAGAGCTAGAAAATATGCTATTACTTGACTGATTTACAGTTCATGCCTGACTGTTTAATAACCCTCTTTTACCTGTTTCAGATACCTTTACTGCTTTTTGACACACATATTTCTATTCTTCTACATATAAAAGAAGAAACAGAGTATCTACTGGAGAAAAAGACAGAGGATGGAAACAAACTGAAAGGTAACCTTAGAAAATGAGATTGTTTTATTTTCTAAGAAACTCACACTTCCATTAATTATACACAGGTACTTATATGAAAGAGCATAAAACAGTACAGTCAATTTAAAACTGTACAACTGAATCCCAAGGGCAACAAATCAATTCTATTTCATTGGAATAGACTACCCTTACAGCAGTCCTACTAAAACCAAAAGAAATGCTTGCAAAACAGGGCATAACTTCTTATGAATGAAGGTGTCAGAATCTGTCCTTTAATCTAGAATGCTATTTAAAGGATTATTTGTACTAATGCAACAACTAAATTAGTTTGCAAAATGCATTATATAAACAAATTAGTCACATAGATTTCTCTTAAGCTTGTAGAGAGGACAGAGGAAATAACATTGATTATTTCTGCTATAGCCATCATTAACATTGAGGTTCAGGACTGCAGAAGGGAGCATTTAAATTTAAATCTCTCTACTTCAAACTTTTAAAGGAGCCTCTGATATACAGGTCATGTTAGAAGTTGAAATCTAAATCTATCATCAAGGAAATTTCACTGATACATGGTAAAACACATACAAAATACCAAGTTCAGGTAATACAAACCCACTGGGAAATATTTTAAAAGTAACAGAGCAGCACAGACAAGGCTTGTATGTGTACGATAGTTACTCATAAGCATGCTCAGCCATGCAAATGTGTTCAAAAACCTCAAGATAAATCTAGCATTAAAAATTAATATCAAAACTACAACATGAATTTCCTATTTCTTCAATTTCGTTAGGATCAAAATTTCAGTCAACTGTTTACCTAGACACAGATGAGAACACTGAAACTAAACTGAGGAACTAGAGGAAAGAAAAAAGTCTTTCTGTTAACTTCAGCCTCTGCCCTGCCTTTGGGCTAACTGCTCCTCACTCTGCTGAGTTGGCATTTTTTAAAGCCACATTCTGCCTTTCACTGTCGGAAACCACTGAACACAGCATTTTGAGACCTCTAAGAACTGCAAAGTAAGGAACTATAAATAAAAGCTTAATTCATCTCAAGGTACTATTTCTGAGCTTTTTTTAATCTTATTGATTTTATTAAATAGGCTGAACTTAGATCACTTAGAAAATCTGCCCATTTTCTTGAGCCAATCCCCCTCAAAATTTAATATGATAGTAATAGTATACTGAGATAGGATTAGTTGTAATCAATCATTTTGTTTGTAATTGAATGAACACTGGCAATTAAAGAACAGCAGATGTCAATACTTGTACAGATAGCCATAAAGTTCCAAATTAGTATCTGCCTCCAATTCCATTAATGAAGACATACTCTCATTCCCTAATGGCTACTCAAAGTGATACAAGAGGAAATACTTGCAATATTTGTAGAAACCTTACCCTATTTGACTTTTAATACCAAACTGCTTTACAAAGGAAAAGGATTCAAAGAGAATAATGAAATATTATTCATGTTTATGTATTAATGATTAATTATTCAGTTACATAGTCCTTGGGGCACATTTTTAAGCAGCCCATGCTCCTGGGGAAGATGTTTCCCAGCTGCTGCTTTTCCCATTGGGGTGACAAGCAGTGGGGGCTTCTCTTCAGGCCTCCATGGAACTGAGGATGGGGCACATACTACCTGAACTGCTTCCAACCTCCTAATGAAAAACATGCAATTTAGATAATTTTTTCTTATTTAGACTACTGGAGAAACCATGAGAAGATAGTAATAATGCTGGAACCTCTGGTAAAGAGAGACTGGGCAGACAATCGATTAAAACCTGACAGTTGAGGTTTAACCTCCTGATTTCTTATGACTATATGTGCAAGACAAGGTTTCTCACAACTGTTGCTGCCTAATTTCTACAAGAACATAGATGAGCCAGAGAGTCTCAGTCCAGTTCACAGACAACATACAAATCACCAAGCAGTAGCTGTCATAGTCTTAATTGACACAGATCCTGAGCAAAAGTAGCTTACTCAAACTGAACAGCATGAGGAAGGATCCAGCTAACCTAACAAATAGTACTGTTATACACCTTTCAATTTTCAATACACTTCTGTTAATACCATTTCATTTTATTGCAAATTGCTTTCTTCCACTGGACAGTCATCTGTCTTTGGTTTTATATACTATGAAAAGAAAGTAATAGTTCTTTTTTCTGTGCCCTTCATTTTTTAGATTTCACACTATTTGACACTATGGACAGCTTCTTAGGAAACAGTAAGCAGACATATTCTATGTGTATTTGTATACAGTTTAGTTAACATGATACACAAGAAGTCTACTATGTGAATTAAATTATTTCAGTTTTACTACTGGTGTCACCTTAAGAATGTAGATTTGAAACCAGATTTACTGAAGCAGAGCGATAACTGGATTCCATTTAAAAATTAAAGGTTGATATTTCTGTAGTTCTATGTAAGAATTTTTTTCTCCCTTTGTTAAGGCAGTTAATTTGCAATAGTCTGCAAATCAGCATGATGCTGGTAGCTCCTAAAGAAGTTATCGGACTCAGGGACAGTTCATCTATTATACACAATCATCCAGAAAGGAAGAGAAGGAACTTTACTAAAGCAACTACCTCACAAAGCAGCATTTTAACTTCAACGTATACAATTATCTACATTAGATTTTACAGTGCTCACATTAAAGCAGATGCCTGAAATATGGGGGGGGGAAAGGTAGAAGGAACCAGAATCAGACCTGGCTTGCACTGAGTACCTAAATTCATTTACTATATTTATTATCTTTTTCTGAAAATATTATCTAAATCTAGAAGTGTCAGAGGTAGTATCACAATAAATTTTATGGCTGCCTCATAAGTAATGGGAATGTACTTTTTTATTCAATTGAAAGTTTTAATATGATGCAATAGGAATTCACAACATGAATGGTATTTTTCACACTTAGGCAGAATACACAAAACCATCCCACATTAATTTATTCTAAAAAGAACCTAGGAGGAAGCTTAAGCATAATTTGGTTTTATTTTAGGGAATTTCCTAACTTTTGAGATCTACTTTGAAGAGAGGAGGTAACCTTTTGTGTTGTGTAGAAATGAAATTTCATAATTCCACTCCATCTATGCATTCTGCAGTGCTTCGGGTTCTTGAATGTATATCATTTTTCACTACACATAAAGTGAAAACCCAAGAAAACAAGTTTGCCCATGGTGCAAGTACTGCTTCATACTTGTGATAAATTGTCTTCCACACTGGAAGCCCTAACTAGGGATTCTTTTTTATGGTCCTAGGCTAATACATGTAACCACAAGAAAAGCAGAACAACAGCAGTATAAGGCTGAGGCTGAGAGAAGTTCAACAGCTAAAACCATTTGAAGAAACAATTTGGGGAAAAATAAAGAAAGAGAGAGAGAGGAAGAAAAAAGAAAAAACAATCGCAGGAAACAGAAAAAATGCACTTAATTGATATTTATTATATTCCAGTTCTCCTAAAAGGATTAGTGACCTTTTGCTTGCATTTATTCAAGCACTTTCCAAATGCAATTTTTTTTTACTGTGTAGTATATATTAAAGCAGATTCAAGAAGTGTACTTTTTCAGAAACTTCGAGAGTCTGAAAATTGGTTTGCCTGCATTCAGTTTTCTGCTGCCATCAATTCAGCAATTCTAGGTATTTAGGAGATGAAAGATGAGGGGGTGAGCAACTTACAAAATAGAATTTTTCAATTCAATTTAAAAATATTTTACATATGCCTACCTGCATGTACACAATTCAACCAGATAAAACAGATAAAATATTTATAGACTTCTATGCACTTTTATAAGAGATGCACTAGTCCTCAAAAACAGGTTGGATTATTAAGATCTACTACTTTTTACTTTAAAACAAACTACACTTCGACATTGACTTTTAGAAATTACTAAGAAGTTTGTACTCTAAATTAGAGTTAAAAATGCAATCTTATCTGAAGGTATTTTTCATTAATGAACATATTTCAGAAAACATCACTATGGAATTACTCTTCCAACATGTGCCATCCCAAGCCACACTTGCTACAGAAATTGCTATAAAATGGCACATTTGTAACATGTACCATTAATGTATAAGGGCACACTGGTAACATGTACCATTAATGGAATTATAAAATGCCTGCCAATACTAAGCTGTACAGAAAAAAATACTTAAAGAAAGCATAATTGAAGACTCATTTAAAAAGTCTGGACTGCTCAAGTTATAATCAGTCCATTAACATGCTTTCAATTGACATTAAAGAATTTTCTCAATTTGTTTCCACCTTTCCTTTTTGACTCAGGTACATAATTCATAAGCCAAATACTAATCTTTTATTTTCAAGGGCAGGAGACCAGACAGGGGAAGCATGACTACACTTGTGTTCATACATTCAATGAAAAACTATTAATTCACTACTTTCATAACTATCCATGAAAAACATGGGGAAAAATTAAAATCAGGCAGATAAATAGTTATAATAACATAAATTAACTCCTTATCCCACTTAAGTGAAAGCTACTAGGTACCATGCAGACAGACATGATAGAAATACTTATAATAATGTATGTGATTTTGTAGTGATCCTGACACTAACAATATACTGTGGATAAGTTAGAGGAAAAAATGCAGAGACCACTAGCATTGGGAAGAGTCACGACAACATTTTATGGTAAGTCATTCAGCTGTTTCATTGCAATTAGTAAAGAATTTGTTTTCTTTTAAAAGGAAAAAATTACAACAAAACAAACCAAAACAAACTGAAAGACTCATACATATATAGTGGAACAGCCCATTCTTCCATATGAAGTCAACAAATTATGCATAACTACTTCTGAATCTCCTAGGACAATAAGCCATTTAAACCTTAATAGCTAGATGCAGAGAAATAAAACCATGAATTTTGATCATGTATCTTCTCATTAAAGACCAAAGACTGAATACCAAAGAATAAGCTCATACCCTGCATGTATGTGTGGCAAAGTATTGGTAACCAAGCAACCAGCAGGAAACATGTCACAGAGAAAAAGCATATTTACAGTCCTAACAGTCTCTCATTTATACACAGCTATAGATACCAGCCACAAGAGGAGAGGATCAGAAAGCAGCACAAAGCAGTCACTGCACCTTTTATCTTTTTTTTTTTTCATTTTGATTTACTACAGATATTGCCTGGGTTTAACTGGATTAATTTCATATGACAATAGCTGTCTTAATTCTCTTAATTCTTAATAAAATAAGTAGCATACCTAAATTCTGCATGAATAGATGCACAAATAGAGAACGAATCCTAAACTTATTTCCTACTTGTTTGGTTTTGTATTTCAGAGGATTCTGGATGTGAATTATTCACTTTTCCTGAAAGATCAACAGGACACTCAGGAAGAATACATATTATTAAACAAACATAAATATAGAGCATATATATGTTCAGCAAATTATCCATGCAAAGACAATTATTCACATACATCACATACTCAGAGAGTTCTATCCTTAGCCTTGAAGTTTTAAAGATTTTATACAAAGTACCCAAGTTTATTAAAACCCCAAAGGCAGAAATAATATTTTTGTTAATTTATTTGTCTCTTTTAAACAAACAAATGGCAAATAGGAAGGTTTGCAGATATACTGAAGTGTTTCTGAGAACACAAGTATAGCAGAAGTCTAGCAATGTTTCTTCAAACAAAAGGATTCTCAAGGCTCAAGGGAGCAGAGAAGGAATGAAGTGCTAAATACATTTTTATTCTTATGTTCCTTTTTTATTATTTTGACATTGCCATCTAGTGTTTACCGAAACACAACCATTAATGCATGCACATTGATCAAGCAGGGAAAGCAGTGATGACCCTGGTCCTTGCTACACCTAACAGATACCTGCCAAACACACCAGAACACACACACACACACTAGACAGAAGTCTTTTGATTTGAATTTTGATTTGGAGGAAAGGAAGTCTTTCAGGGCAGATTTCTGCTTCCTCAGAAGCCTTCCATGTTGAAGATTCACTCCTACATAGCATACATATTTTCTATTTTTGATACAGATATTCGTGCTAAATAAAGTCTATCACTTAAATGGATAAAAATAGCAAAAGGGATTTCTCCTAATTTCTAATAAATTTACTGCTTTGTAATAAAAATTTAAAAATACACTAATTATACAGCCATCTGCAAGCCCGGTATGTAATTCAGTATTTTCTGATCACCATGATACTTGTACTCCTTATTATAATCATACATAGAACTTAAATCATGCACACTGAATTACACATTATTAACTCATGGAAGACTTAATAAAATGACAATATAACTAATCTAGAATATTGCACTGTTTTAGGCCCTCAGAACAGGCACTGATAAACAGCAACAAGTTCAGCAGAGAGACACTAGTATGGCTGGGGCTGGACACTTGTCCTGTGAGGAAAGGCTGAGGAAACCAGGCCTGTTCAGCCAGCACAAGAGACAGCTGTGGGGCAGATCTAACAACAGCCTGCCAGTACCTATGGGGAGGTTACCAGGATGATTGAGCCAGGCTGTTTGATGTGCATGGAGGGAAGAACACGAAGCAACAGGGCTAAATTGAAATGAGAGGTTCAGACTGGATATAAGCAAAAACATTTTCACTGTGAGTTTGACAGTGGAGTAGGTTACACTGCTGCCAAACTTTTTGATTCCTACTGGATAAAGCCCTGTCCAACAGTCTGACCACAGCTGACCTTGCTTTGCTCAAGAGCTTGGATTAGAGACCTCCTGAGGATTC